GGGGGGGGGGGGGGCGCCCCGCCCGGCCCTGCCTGCCTGCCCTTCCGCTCCTGTCGCTTGCGCCGCGCTGTCGCCGGCAGGCGCGGTGCCCAGACCCCTGGGGCTTTGCCCTGGCTTACGGTGTGCGCGGACGCTGGCTGTGCGGCGCGCTTTTTTTCTGTATCCTCTCGTCCCCTGCCCTCAGGAAGAGTTCACCTGTAGCCCCCTTGGCACACTGTCAGGCATGGACACGCCAGCCCATGGCGCATTGCGTATGCCAATCACATCCACACATATACACACACAACCACTCACTTGCGAGCACGCGCGTGCGCTCCTGCGCGGCACACCTACACACAGACACGCGTGCGTGCACGCACGCTACCCTGCCGCGTCAGGCGCACGCGGAACAGTCGCCGCCCCCTCCCCAGCCGTCCCCAAAGCGGGCCCTCTTTGTGAAACGGCGATCCGCTGCCTGTTTCAGATCCTGATTATCACCCACAGTGGTTTGCAGGTGTGCTGGGATGCACGCCTTTCTCGGTGCTCAGCGCCCACACACACTGGCGTGCTGCAACGGATGGCAGCGCCGCCGGCGTGTGCGGCTCACGTGTGCAGGCGAGCGGCCGCAGTGCTGCCGCTCGCCGCCTCGCACAACACGATTTGGCTGACGCACGCACGACGGCTGCAGGCGCTGCCGGGCTTTGGTGCCCATTGTTGTCTGGGTGCTGCGTGTTCGATGTGCTTTCTCAACACACGCCGCCAGCGCGTGTCACCAACGCGTGTTCAACTTCCCTCTCGTCTCCAATCACCATGGGTGACGCCTTGGCAGGCTGCTTGCGGGTTGCATGGCGCGTGTCGTGCTGCTTGAGCGGACTGTCGATGCGGCCCCCAAACTGGGCAGGTTGCCTTGCTGCAACTGCCGCATGACTCGTTCGGCGGCGGCGCCGCCACTCGCTTGTAGGGCCGCTGGTCATGTAAAACACTTATCCTGGTCTTGTAGGCCCATCACCCACCCACTATCAGCCTCCCTCTGCCTGACTAGCTGATGGTTGCGTCACCCCCCCTCACAAACACAAAAAAGCAGCCGCTGCGTGGAAGCGGAACGAGCAATTACACACATGCAGTGCGCGCCGCGCATGCGCCGACGTTACGGACAGCCGCAGCTTTTGTGATTGAGTGCCACAGTCGCGACCCTCGTGCTGCGCCGCAGGAAAAGAAGACGGGACGCGGCTGGCCCGCCGCCACGAGGGATGCCAGGCGTCCGCGCTCGCCGCGACTGCACCAGCTCACGCTGGCCGGCCAGCTGCTGCACACCCCAGACCCCAGCTGCTCGTGGTGCGGCCTGCCAGCCGCTGCATTCGCAGGAAACCCAAACACAACCAAACCTAACACACCCACACCTCCGCCGCCCCATGACGAGTTGCCCCCGACAGACCCGCCGCCGGCCCTGCCGCGCCCGCCCGGGCGGCGCGGCCCCGACCGACCAGCACAAGCCCGCGGCGGGGACGCGCCGACCGCCTTGGCGGGGGCGCCTCAATCCTTGAAGCCGCATAATTTGAGGGCTTGCCAGCGCCGCTCGACGGCTGGCCGGGGCCGCCTCACTTTTTGGAGCCGAGCAGCTTTGCCGGCGCCCCGCGTCGGCTGGCTGGGGGCGCCTCACTTTTTGGAGCCGAACAGCTTGCCCAGGCCACTCATCAGCTGGCCAAACTGCTCCTCCACCTTCTTGGTCAGCTCGGGCATGCCAAACACGTCTGCGGGCACGCCAGGGGTGCAAGCGGCGGGGCCGGGGCGCGCCGGATCGGGCGCGAGGCGGTGCAGAAGCGGGGACAGCCGCGTGCGCGGGATGCGCGGCGGCTCGATGACATGTCGGGCGCGGTGTGAGGGTTCCGAGCACGTTCGTGCCGGCAAACGATGTAAGCAGGCGCGACCAAGCAAAAGCAAGGTGCGCGGGCGCCGCGGGTGGCTGCGGCCATGGGGGCGGGGGGCGAGGCGGGGAGGGAT